GTAACAACCACTGTCTCCCCCCAAACACAATGCACACTCATATTGAATGTACACAAGCTGTGTTTCAGGCCAGAAGCAGCCATGACAAAAGGTGCTTGTGTTCGGCGGAATTTAGCATTAGGATTGAGTATGTATATAATAGACGAACTTTCTCCTGAATTCTCTCTTTGGTGATTCCATTTTTGTCAGCTTTTGGGTAATTGTTTCATGTTGTATTTCTTTCTTTCTTTTCTTTTCTTTTTTCTTTTTTTCTTTTTTTTATCTTTTCTTTTCTTTTCTTTCTTTTCTTTTCTTTTTTTTTCTTTTCTTTCTTTGCTTTTCTTTTCTTTTCCTTTTTTTCCTGCTTTTCTTTTCTTGTCCTTCTTTCCTTCTTTGTTCTGTTCTCTTTTCGCTTTTGGTGTACGGTTTGCGTGTGTGTTCACTGTTGCCTTTTCGTCTTTTTGAGACTTTTTCACTTTTTTTTCTTTTTTTGGGTGTTGCCTTTTCTTTTGCTCTGATATGTATTTTCCTATATTGCTTGATTGGACCTATGCCTACACAATGCCGTGCTTAACTGTTGCTTTGCAGTGTTCTGATTTACGCTGTGCTTTGTGCTGTTTGCGTTATTTTTGTTCCCTCCTCTCTCGCAATTCTTTTATTGCACACAGGGACGCATTTACATCATTGATGTTTCGCAATCGGTGGATCTTGACCATCCGCGGGTTTTAGACTTCCTGAGAGAAGATTGCATGCATGTCACGGTGAGCGATTTCCCACCCCGTCGTTCCTGCTCCTAACAAAAAAAATAAGTCCCTACCATCCACCTGTAAGTCAGTGCAACCCAACGCAATATCTCCTCCTCCTGCTGTCTCAGAAGTCGAGCGGCATCCATCCACCGGGACCCTTCCTATGCCAACAAGAATTATTGATCCCGATGGACCACGCAGATGTGCTTGCATGTTAGAAGGCGAAAATCTGTGGCATCCAACTACTACTCCTTTGCGGCTGCCCTGGCGGGCGTGAGTCGTACTTTTTTACACTTTTTGTGGTCTTCATGCTGGTCTTATGTTAGCATCCGAATCATACAGGGAAGATCAGCATGGCCCCGACCCTGTATTTCCTGCTCGGAGGCTGCTCCTACAAAAACCCCTAACCTACCGTATGTATGTCAGCGCAACCCAATCCTCCTGCCATCTTCGAAGTCAATCGGTATCATTCTAGAAGACAACTGTTACAATTCTTTGGAATGGTCCAGAGAAGATTAGCATGGCTCCTGCGCAAGGATGACACACATAAATGGAGAAATGGTAATTGAAAAGAGAAGAAAAAAAGACGGCGAGCGGCGTCGGACCAGAGGACTGAAGGCTGCACGTCAATTGGTGTTCAGGCCAGCAAAGATAATGGGCCTCGCTGCACTACTCTCGAAATGTGCCGAACGAGAGTGAATCTTCTGCTAGAATATGGAAAGATGCACCGCCATGATTGTTGTCTTTTGTGCATGTTGAGAGTAGTGCAGCGAGGCCCACTGTCGGCGGCTACACAAGGCAAGACCTTGATGTCACAGCTCCGGCAAAGAGAAGGCTCTCTCTTTCGATCTCAACCGTCGATGCTGTCCACAATGACCGTCTTCCAACAAATAGAATGTCTGGTCATTATGGGTGCATCTGGACTGAAAGTTGCACCAAGTGCGGCTACAATGACCGTATGTTCTATTCGTGGGAAGACGGTAGTCTGATATGCGGTGACTTTATTATGCCTTAACATGGGCTCAACCCAATCTGAATGGAGACAAAAACACCTGCACCATAGACAGCAAGCAGCAGGCACCATAACTACGGGGAGCACCACCATTGCTGGTGGGCTCCAAGCTCCATCCTCCTGATGGCCGCTACATCGTGCGGGTGCCGCAGAAGTCGGGCAGCATAATGGCTGCAATGGTTCACCGTCCTTTTTTTTTTTGTTTTTTCCCAGTGATGCCTGGGCTACAAACTGGGCCCGCCAGGGTCACCTTGGTTGTCTGGACAGCCCAGCCGGGCAAGGGCCAAGGAAGGTTGCTGCAAAAAAAAGAAAAGAAAAGAAAGAAATTCCGGACCTAACGGTTGCAGCCCGACTGTCTTCCCCCAAACATTGGTGCTCAAGGTTAGTGTCCAAAGGTGTCAGAAAATGGAGAAGACTCGTCGGAAAGTTCACCGACCTTTCAGCGCTCGCAACAAATTTGCAGACTTCTCAAGACCAAGATCTGCAATCCTTGTTGGATGTTCGCAAAATTACAAAATTGGTCGCAATAATTCCGGTAGCTGTAGCTGCGTGAAAATAGTCATGTGGGTTGTGACTGACTGAAAAATATTTCAGACTCTGCCATTAGGTTGCCCTACTAACTCCTGAGCTGTGGAGTCTCATTTACCGCACCTCCGTTCCGTTCTCTTCCTGGACTTGTATACTTTCTCTCCTCTTCTCTCACCAAATTCCTTCCTCTCTCCCCTTCTCTCACCAAACTTCTCCTTTCTCCCCTGCTCTCACA